CAAAAGCAATTTGTTATGAGCAAACTAAAAAACCTCCCGAGATGAAGACATAAAAGCAGTGATTTTTCATATCCTATATCTATTCTTATTACATCATATATATATATATATATATATATATATATATATATATATATATATATATATATATATATATATATATATATATATATATATATATATCCTTAATATTTAAATTTATTCATATGTAAAGATATTTGCCTATTCCTCTCTTGTGCTTATTAAGCAGTGTGTAAGTGAGGCGCAACTCTGCGCTGGAGTTTAGACCTCGTTTGTTTTGGTCTAATGAAAAATCTATTTTAGTTTAGCAGTGCGCTTTAGAATGCCTTCCTTTTTAGACCAGAATGCCTATGGGCGCACATATGATCGCTAATGCATGTGCTATTTAAACAGCGTAGCGCAGCGCCTCAAAACGACTCTTGCGCCAAGCTAAAACTAGCAAAAGACTATTGCGCCGCGCCTTCCGCCACATTGCGCCAGGTGTATGATAGGGCCCTTAGTGTTCAACGAGCTTGTCTGTTGGCAAAATTAAGCAAAATGAGCAGTTTCTATAGTTCTGGCGCTAAACTCAAATAATATTTCTTCTTTAGTAAAAAAATAACAGACCTATAGGTATACATGACAGACAGCACAATCTAACTAAAACATGCCTGCTGTTTGAACATTCTTTGAGTATTCGTTTGTGATATTGTCCTTTCCTTTTTAATATTAAGATTTTTCTTAGAAATCAGCAATAGGCTACTACTAACATTGTTGGTAAAATAATCAGCCTTTTATCAAATGTATTAATTTTATTAAATTAAAGCCTCATATTTTCCTGCAGGTTTGATGCAGACTAAACTAAACCATCTGATGCCACTTTTACTTAATAATCCCTTTCCAAATCTCGCTGTGAGACGGAGAAAGTTCAAAACAAGGTCCGCTTATATGCTTCAGTGTCAAAACTGGTCTGTTAAATAAAATGTTAACATAAAAAATTACAGTGAAATATTCACAGTTTCAGAGTAACCTATATTAGGCTAAATTATTTTCTGTTAATGTCAATCCATATGCGCCCGTCAGTTTCACTTGTATTAATTTAATCAACTACTTTGACCACAATGGGCCAGGCTTAAAAACTGTTTGCAGCACTTAAAGTATTCCCCTTGGAAGAAACTCAGTCTGAAGGGTTGGAGAACAAACTCAATGTGAGAATAATCTTACGGAGCGGCGCACGTCGCCTTTGAGCATGCAGCCAGCACGTTAATGAAAGGGTTTGATGCATCTGAGACAAAGCGCACAGCGCTCCGGTATCTACAGACATTTGCGAAAAAGCAGCTCAAATGGAAGAAATAAGTACATTGAGGATCAGCCAATGTATTACTGAGGCTTTTCTAAATAAACTTTTAGGTAGGCCTACTTTATGGGTGAAGAGCAGGTAATAACCCTCCCCACTCCTCTATTGCGAACGCGATCTAATCTAACAAACAGAATGCAACATGATTTAGAAACAATGAAATGAACTCCTGCTGCAGGTCAAAATTAACCCATTTAAAGCTAAACTAAATGTATTTCTCCACTAATCATTTAAACTAACAGAAACAAATAGTCTTGGAAAAAGTTTTTCCTGTTGTCTTAATTGCGTCAAGCAGTTTGAATGGAGAATAATTGAAGAATGATTGACAGGCACAGCAGCAGAAAGCGCTGAAGGGAACATGAAATTAACCACATGAATATAGGCCTACATCTGTACTTCACATTAAACTACAGAACGGCTTCAAAACATTTAGGATATAGGCATGCATGACTATGTTCTAGTGGCTTATAACAGGCTACTTATATGGCTTAGTTGGCTTGTAAACACAGACCATAGCGCAAGCGCAAGATCGGATTTGGATCGGTACCAATACCCAATCCAGCAAAAATATGCGGTATCGAACCGATATCAGATCCAAGTATCGGGATCGGTGCATCCCTAAAGATGACTACGGCGCGAGTCAGCCGTTCTCTTTAATTATCCATTACAAGGGTTCAAGCAGATCTGGAAAAGACTTTACGAAACATAAAGCACCAGAAATGTTACAGAGCTCTCTCTTCAGGAAATTGGGGAACTTCTCCAAAATATCGGACAGAGATAAATGAAGACTGCGTGAGCAAGGTGATTTGCTCCTAGAGATCCAAGCAACTATGCAGGATGGACATCTGATGATTCTTTCCTATCTAGAAACACGATGAGAAGTAAACCTAATAATACAGAAATTGCCATTCAGCTTACAAGAGAAGTGGCTCACAGTGGGGTCTAAATACAAAGAGGAGCAGGGTTTCCTTTATGAAATGTTGAGTGTTTGCTATTTTAAAGTGATAGGATAAGACAGTCAATAATTAAGCCTTTTCATTTACGTTCAATTTAAGTTTTTGTTGTTGATTATATTTTACTATCTCATTTTACTCTCTCAATCACGATCGTAATCTCGATCGTATGTCCTGAAACACTTAACGATTTCCATTACCTAAGATAAACAAATAATATGCAACATCCTTAAATTATTCTCTTAAATAAAGGGGAATTACCTATTAAGTGTAATATTGCTAATGGAAAAACGTTATGTTTTAGGTCTCTCCAGAGCATTTGGGATAAATGTTTGACGGCGTCTATCAAAACAAGGATGTTATAAAATACATTTTATACCGAGGTATTACTTTAAAATTTCTGTGGTTTTATATTATGGATGGTGCGCTGGGTCATCCCTCCGCTTGTGGCGAGACCACTCGATGTCAACAGTCTGTCAGCGAGTAACTAACTATAATAAATGGAAATGCATAGGTCTGTGCATATAGACACATAATGTAATGCTGTACAGTAACGTGTCATTTGTTTGTTTTGGTTGTCATCAATTTAATTATTTTGTGATGATGGGATGGTGTGCTTTATTTGCCTGCTTGATTCCCACTGAACTGGGTTGTGTGACAAATCAAGTTCGGGGGATGTGTGACACTTGATTCACCACTAACAGAGGGATGACCAGCGCACCATCCATAATAGAAAAACAACAGAATTTCTCAGGTAAAAACTCGGTATAAAACATATTTTATAGCATCCTCGTTTCATTAGTTGCCGTCAAACATTCAGCCCAAATGTTTCGGAGTGACCTAAAACATATTTATATAGGCTGAAACTTAATGGATAATTCCCTTTTTTTTTTTTAAGAAAATAATTAGGACATTAAGTAGTAGGCAATTAGTAGGCAATATCCTTCTGAAAAGGCTTCATTTAAAATGTCATTTTGACAAAAGAGATAACAGGATAATGTTGGATAATGACTGTAGGAAAAAAAATGTATGTCTAATCTATTTTTTCAAGATTTATTTTTTAAGCTTGAAGTGCAGTGAATTCTTAATTGACGCCCAGTTGATATTTCTTCAACTAATATTTCAATGTATATAAGCTAATTTATAAAGAGCTTATTTTATATACTTTTTATTAGCCGCATTATTCTGTGTGTGTGGTATTCATGGCCCAGATGTGCAGGCAATAAACAAGGCTTAAACATTAAAATGTGCTTTTAGAAACTTAAAATATTTATATTTTATGTTGGCTATGCTTAGGATAGGGGAAAACATTTAGAATACAAAACATTTAGCCCCTTAACCTAAATAGGCCGGCTATAAGAGGATGCGCTGTTTTAAACAAGCAGAATATTTTCTTTCTGCAGGCTGTTAGCTCTGAATGCGTGTGAAAGAGAAAACAGAGAACAGAGAAAAAATTAACCGAAAATTATTAATATGCAGCTCACTTTGCTTTCAAATAACCCTGTTTATTTAATTTATAACTGCCACTAAAAGCTATGCAAAAAGCAACCAATTTTGAGTCCATGAGAGCATTTTGCATGTATTGGCAGTTGGTCAAATATTTGTAACCTGGCCTTAAATAAATAATAATTGTTGATAAAGCAAGTTATACTGCAATCAGGTGATGTGCTCCACCAAAGTGATAACCTTAATATTATTTTGTAGTGTGTGCTATGCCGCAGTTTTCATATCTTGCGCACATTTAAGATTTGATGTAATAACATCGCCATGATAGGCAAAGAAATTGAAACATTCTTTTCACCCCAACGCAATTTAATAGGGCACTATAAAGGCTAAAGAACTTAATAGTTATATTTGCTTAATTTTTGCAGCCTAGGGCTATACTTCTCACAATGTATTGTACCTTTTTTAAGCATACAGTATAGTGTAAAAGCATGTTTATTACTGAGAAAACTAAAACAAATAAAATTATTTTAATTGAACATCACATAGGGTACACATACAGTATAGTCCTATCTAGTATTGTGAAAGGGCAAAGCTTAAAATATATGATTAAAGCACCACCCAATGGTCAAAAGCTGCTGTCGTACATAGGTACCTCCGCGGTGGCAGTAACAATAGCGGCAGAGGGAACATTTTGAATTGGTGACATCTGTATTGGTAGAGGAATGTGACAGGCTAAATGTGCCTCTTATGCAAGCAGAATTTGGCAATTAATATGTACATAGCAATCTTGATGTGTTTGGTCTTGGCGGCAAAGATCTGCTACTATGCTACAGAACCTTTGATTGTTATGGCAGAGCAAGTACAGATACCTGCTATAGCCTGTATATTCACAGAAATGCTGTCTAAGCATATAACTTCTGCTATATATATGATCTCTAAAAACATGCTGCAGCTTAACAGTGTAGAATGAGCATTTAAAATGATGAGGAGCAAGCTCATTGGCTGCCAAGGCGACAGCAACCAATGCCCTGTTCTACTCAGTTAATGACAGAGGGGCAGATTAGGTGACCTATCAGCCTGTGCATGCATAGTTTCATGGCAAAAAATTTACTTCTGTCATGACCACTCTAAGGATTTGGTATGGTAATAAATATGTATATGGAAATGTTGATGTGTACAATTTGCTTTGTGGATGGATGGATGGATGTATGCATGTATGGATGGATGGATGGATGGATGCTCACCTATCCAGCACTCCAGTCTGGCACAGGGTGAGGTCTTCACTACATCAGGAGGGTCCACACCAACATTCAGACATAAAACTAGAGCCACACTCACTGTTTTCATCTGTTAAAACAAATTAAAAAAAAGTAGTGAGAAATAAAATAAATCTAAAATGAATTTAAACTTATAAGACAATTTCTAACCTTAATAATAAAACCCTTTAGAAAAGCAGCAGTAATTAGAACCTAATTGTATATGTGTTTTTTTAACTGATGTTTCTATAGAGAGCATCAGGTGCCCTTTCAGATTAGATATTTTTTTAACGTGTAAACCTTGTCAAAACATCTAACAGTTCATTTATTTCTCTTTTTTTTTTTAAACAATGTGTTTATTGTTTTTGTTTATACAAGACAGGTAACAGAAAAACACAATTCCATTTCGTTGCAATTATTTCCCACCCCAACAAAACAACATCACTCTCTTCTCCCCTATACAAATACACAGAATTCTCTTACAAGAGACAATTTCAATGCAAAACAAATATTGTTAGGTACCCAAAAACCAAGTATACATTACTGTACTTTACACATAAAAGTTACGTTATCCAACAAAACAAAATGAAACAGACACACAAAACATTGATTTCTCATTAACCATCATTAAGTTTTCAACATGATTATAACAATAAATTTCAATTTCAATCGATAACTGTTTTTGCCCAATTTAAATATAGGTTTTTTTTTCCTTTTCAAAAGCAGTAGCAGTATAGCCTAAACATAGAATCATAGTTTTACAATCAGACAATTGCATTGTGGTGCACTCAGACACCGTGCATTAAGCAATTTTATAAATGAACATCACCAAAGGCCTACAAGAGTATTCACTTAAATAACACATTAACAAAATCAGAGAACTAACTTAGTCAACTATTGTAGAATTTCTATGACTTGCTCCAAAATTAACACAATAGCAATCAATATGTAATTTTTGTTGATAGGAGTAAGATATTATAGTAATGCGTAAAGTATTTTATTGTTGGAAACTTACAAAGAAAATAGCCTAGGCTAAAATGTGCTATTTGCTGCTCACAAAAAAAAATTTAAAAAATAAAAAAATAATTGATTCAGCTCATTTTTTGGCATGCATCGCCTTGCAGTGACAACTGCTCACAACGTCTTAATGTCAGATGAATAAATGAATAATCTATTCATTTATATATATATATATATATATATATATATATATATATATATATATATATATATATTCGTTTTTGATAAATAAAATTATTTAGTTTTACAGCTAGCCTAAATAAAGGCATGTTAAAACTAATACAAATTAAGCATATAGCGTATGTTGTGTCGAAGCTAAAGCCCATATGTTTTCATTGATTAATAATTTTTTGTTTACATAACCATTTGATATACCTTTAAAAGTAAACACATATTTAGTTAAAATTTATTTAAGGGAATTCCAAAGTTGTAGCCTATATTTTCATACCTTTAAAGCAACATATAGCCAAAAGCAGGCCATTTTCAAAGGGCTACTTTGAAAAGTATATTTGCCTTTACATTTACTTCCAAATTGGATAATTATGTATGTGCTGTGCTGCAGCAATTAATGCACTGAGATGTATAAAGTACTAGAGACCCACACTTAAGTAAAAGTACAAGTGCTCTATAAAAAAGAGTAATGAGTAGAAGTTGAAGTGCTCTTTAAACACCATACTTAAGTGCAAGTACGAAAGTATTCAACATGTTTTGTACTTAAGTACTGCAAATAGTTTATTTCAAAATTTACTACTCAAGTACTGAAAGTAAAAGTACAAGTATTGTGTAATGTGATTTTAAAGAAATCAGTCAAAAGACATCATTATGTTTTGTTTATTTTAAATTTTTTGGGGGGGGGGCACGTGATTAAGCAGAACGAAAAGAAACATGGCTTACGATACTGTTTTTCTCTTGCACTTGAACCACAGATCTGACAGATTATACCAGCTTTAATACACTCCTTTCAAAGTTGTGTGTCACAAAAACACTCCCTAATCCACTGAAAACGCTATTGAAACCCATTTTCAGATCGCAAATTACCGGTTGAAAACGGTGTAAACAGAAGTTCTAAACATTCTACCGGAAGACGCTGATCGCTATGGCCCCCTCCATGCAGTAGCCAAGAAAAAGTTCTATTATTGTAACGAGTAGAGGTGTGAATCTACACTGGTCTCATGGTCTCATGACGATGCTTTGCATACATAATTACATTTTTTCTTCAAAACACAAGAATTTTTTTGATTAAAATCTATAAATATATTTATATATTATTTGTAATACAATTTTGTTCTTTAATACAGCAGTGAGATAAATGAACTGTACCCTTAATTTGACCTGCTCAAAGAAAACACTCTTTCTGAATGCATAAACAAAACTCCAACACATGCACAACACATACATAAACTAATGTAAATATTATACCGCTTGCTTTTTAAGCACTGACAGGCAAGGTCTTACACCCCTATGATTGGTTATATAGATATGTAATCCTATAGATTCAGAGCACTTACATTTCTTAAACATCCCAGGAAGCGCTCTTGAGCACGGTGTCTGAGTGCACCCCGATTCTTTAAACCTTGTGCAAATGTGTGACTGCCGTCTGTGTGTGACAGTCTTACAAGCTAACTTAGTAAGCACACTTTTGTTCTGCCCAATCAGAATTGCACAACCGAACCATACGGAACACAATAAAAAACAAACAGGAAAGCGCGAATGAGTGGGATGATGGCATCTGCTGCTTTAGAAGCATTAGTGGACTAATTAATATCAAAGAAAAACAGCTCATTAATAATGTGGGAATATCTTGAAAAGTCACAGACACAAACAAAACCAGGTAATTTGTAAGAGTTGAGGCAGAAAGAGAAAATACCAGCACCTAAAAAGCACCACAGGCGCTTCTTGCTTGCAAAGGAGCGTCTTGCTAAAAAGTCAACTACAAGTGTCAAAATTCATTGTTTCTTAAGTGCACTGCGATGCAGTCACAGGTAATTCGGTATTGTTTCAGCAATAATCATAAACGGCTATTGGTTACTGATTACATTTAGCTCATTTGCGCTATATTGTAGTAGTTGTGTAGTAGCTGATTGTGTTTGCTGGTCAGTCTTTCAAGGACACTTACAGCAGAAGCCCCAGTTTCACAGTTATGGAGAAACTCAAAGTAAACTCCATTTCTCTCTCTCTCTCACTCACTGTGGACCTTTGACCTGCTGTCCTGAGGTAAAGTTTTCTCTCCTCTTTGCTGTTACAGCTATACTTCTGGATATAGACATGAGTTGCATAGGGAGTTTTTTCCTCTGCGTCTACCATTGATCAGTGACCATTTATCAGTGTCACTTATCGGTGAACAGCTCGAGAGCGTTAGAGCCAATCGCAGACCTTTTTGTTTAGCACATGACCAGTCATAGAGGTGTAAGAAATTACTCGCTAAACAGGGCTCATAAAGCAATCAGGATATTTACATTTGTTTATTTGCCATAAATGGTCATGTTGCTCTGTGCATGTACTTGAGTTTTTAAAGGTACAGCTTATGTACCTGACCATTTGTTTTAAAAGACAAAATTGTATTACAAGTAGTATTCATTCATTCATTCATTCATTTTCTTTTCAGCTTAGTCCCTTTATTAATCTGGGGTCGCCACAGCGAAATAAACCGCCAACTTATGCAGCGATTGCCCTTCCAGCTGCAACCCATCCCTGGGAAACATCTCTACACACCCATTCACACACATACACAACGGACAATTTAGCTAACCCAATTCACCTATACTGCATGTTTTTGGACTTGTTGAGGAAAACAGAGCACCCAGAGAAAACCCACGCGAACAAAGGGAAAACATGCAAACTCCACACAGAAATGCCAACTGACCCAGCTGAGGCTCAAACGTTTAACGTCTCATCCGAAAGACAGCGCTCACTGAACAGTATAGAGTCCCCGTCACTATACTGGGGCATTAGGACCCACACAGACCACAGGTTGAGCGCTCCCTGCTGGCCTCACTAACACCACTTCCGGCAGCAACCTAGCTTTCCCATGTGGTTTCCCATCCAGGTACTGACCGGGCGCAGCCCTGCTTAGCTTCAGTGGGCGACCATGTGAGAGTTGCAGAGAGCTAGCTGCCGAATACTTTTAGGATACATGCCTAGGTGTGAACAGTCACCAAGGTGTAACGCAGACTAGGGCTGTGCGATTTCTTGAAATTATATCAAAACCGCAATTTAAACCATTTGTGATTTCTAAAACACCTAACAGCCTGATTTTCCTGTAGTATGCTGTTTGAACCAATCATAACCCAGCACGCCAAAACAGAGTGTGAGAAAAAGAGACTGAGCTTAATGACAAATAACCTGAATAAACAGGGATGATGAGTTCAGCACAGGAGGACGTGCTGCCAATAAAAAAAACATCTGTGCTGTATGGTTAAGTTACTTTGGATACAGGAAGGTTGATGTATGGCAGAATCAGGTAATTTTTAGAAATTACCCGATTCTGCCAAACATCAACCTTCCTGTATCCAAAGTAACTTAACCCTACAGCACAGATGTTTTTTTTTTTTTATTGGCAGCAAGACCTTTCAGTCACATATCACGTTTAAAAGTATATGTAAAGCACAAGTGCATCGCTGAGGATAACAAAACATTGCTGCGGTTCTGCAGTTTTATTTCTGAAAACAATTTAAAAGCACTGCAAGGACTGGATGTTCTGTGTTTGTCTGGGGTATTTAGTGCACTGAAATGTTTCTATTCTATACAAAGTATAAAGCTAAATAGGTTTTGTTATGTGACTTGCAGCATTCTAAATAGGTATTTTCAACTGGGTGCTCATGAAATACGAAAGCGTGCCATGCGTCTCCATTGGAAATAATCGACTAGAGCCCTCAAAAGACCCGATATGTGAATGGCCTATTTCACGGCAGCGTCACAAAGAGCTTTATGATCTATGCATGGCAAAACACACACATATACACACACAGTAGTCTATTTACATATTTACATATGCGTGTGTGTGTGTGTGTGTTTTTGTGTGTGTGTTTGTGTCAAAATCATGATTTAAATCGAAATCGCAAGTTCACAACA